GTAGGGAAACCTGAGTTCTGGGAAGATTTAGACCAGAAACCACAGTGAGCATAATAAGCATATGTTATGTTATGTTATGGTGCTTTTAAAAAATCATGGGGTTTAGGGGGCATATTGAGTAGAGAAGTTTTCCTGTGAGAATGAGTCACTCAATATTTGTTCCTGAAATAACTAAATTAAGAATAGGATGTTTTCTTCCAGTTTTCTTCATACCTAAAAACCACAGGCAAACTGGAGGACAAACTAGAATCCTAACTGGTCTTTAAAAAGTCAGCTTTTCTTGCCTTAAGGTTAACATACTTCATAAAAAGTCAGTTAATGGCTATAGCTTACATTTGACTACTACACTTTCACTCCATGTCAACTTTAAGTAAGCAGCTGAGACCCTTCTCAAGTATACAAAATGTACTTAGTAAATTACACTATAAATGTACAGTATCACAGCTGATAGAATTTCCTTTGATAGAGCTATGTCATCAGTTTAGAGAATCTATCTATAGCTTAATACAGGTCTTTATTACATATGGGATCTAAACCAATAAATTTTGAGTAAGCCAGAAATGACAAATGTTTCAAGAATCATCTGAAAGCAAAAGAAGCAAAGATTTATAACTGACCCCTGGTCTAAGAGAGTGACAATTGAAAAAGGAGTAAAAATTTACATTGCAATGTGTTGTCAATTAACATTTCCTCTGGGAACAATATTCTGTGTACTTATATTAATAGCACTTTCCACTACAAATCATCTCACCAGTTTGGTGGTGCTAACTGTAACTGCAGATACCAGATTTTGGTGCCTAGTAATTTTTGTTGGGTTGGATAAATATTTATCACTCATATTTAGTGCTACTCCATCGTATGCCTTTAGAATCTTTGTTCCTTTTTTACAGACTGAAAGCATGAGATCTGTTTTCATGTCTTCATGTTATTTGGAGATTCCTAAATTAATGCAACTGTTCAGAAAATCCTCCATAGAGCTTCATCTCTAAGCCTCATCTCCAGATGGAAGATATCAGACTGCAGGGATCATGTTCTTAATATGGAAGAGCTTAAATTATTCAAAACATTTTAAACATTCTGCATTTTTAATGCTTGAAATACCAATCATTTTCCAGCAATCCAAGCTGCTTTCTGGAGCCCAGTGCCAAGCTCAGTACATTTTCTTTGACAATGAACATAAAAGACCTACTGTATTGAAAGTAACAGAACCACAGAGATCTAAAATGTTGCTTAATCAGTTTTGGAGGCTTAGGGCTATTATGTATCTGTTACCTTCAATGCTTCAACAAGAAAAAAGGCATACATATTTGGTGTTACTAGTGTTCTGGGCAGTAACTGCCCAGTGGCAATAACAACCCTGAAACTCAGAAGTGTTTAGTGTGCAGCCTTCCCCTTCGGTGGCATCAAAAATACTGTTGACAGCTGCACTCAGCGGTGGGATGCAGAAGATGACCTTTGACAACTGCAGCACTTTGTCTCTGTGGGACAACATGCATTCTGTCCACAAGGTTTCCTACTGTTGAGCTCTTGTTATGCTTTCAGCTCTATTTATCAGGGCTTACACCAAGAAGGGAACTTGTAGGTGGTTTACAACAAGATTGTTGCTGCAGATTTGGTTCCTGCTGTGATTTGTGTCACCCATTTGAGCCTCAGCCATAAAGCTGCACTCTTTATCAGGAATATTTGTGAATATATAACTGCTCTGAAGACATATGGCCAATAAATAATTCAAAGTTATCTATCTTCCCTGCAGTTTTCTTATACACCTACCACCTTTTCATGTTTTGTTGGCCTGGAAACAATATTCTTTATGGCACTTCTAGTATAAAAATGTTTACTGACTGGCAGCAGACTATTGATTTCCAGTGTGATACCTTGAAAAGAAATAGTTTCCCCCATTTTCATGTCTTTTACTCTCCCATCTGCAATCAGGCCAGAAAAAACTTATTTTGCATTTTGAGTCACTAAAAATGTCCATTTTCAACTACTGATTCCAGTATCATAACAATGTGATTAAATACATTATTCCTTTTTCCCTCCCTCTCACCCATCTCTTTGCTTTTTTTTTTTTTTTCAGCTCTATATCTATTTACAGTCCTAAGGAGAATCCTAATGCATTTGATGCTGCTGCATTATTTCAGTCAGTGGGAAATTTCCTGGGGATCTTTGCTGGATCTTTTGCCATGGGATCCTCTTATGCTGTTGTCACAGCTTTAATATCCTTTATGGTTTGTTTTCAGAGAGAAAAAAATCTATGTATGTTGGAAAAGTTTTCATTGCTGATTCAAGACTTCGCAAACACTCAATAAATTGACAGGAAATTTCACTTGTCAGAATCAACAAATAATGTGAGATGAAAATTCCTTTTTAACATTCGATAAGACTCCAGTCTTTATTTTATTTTTTGTAAATAATTACATTTTTTGGAAAGTGTTTTGAGGTTAAAATGTGAATTCATGACCTACAGCAACTTATTTATGAACTACAGACTAGAAACGATTCTTCAAAAATAGAAGGCAAAAACTACACTACAAATTAGTTAGTCAGTTTACCTAAGCTAGAAATCAAAGGCGTATCTGTTTTTCCTGCCTTTTCCTGTGTTTTCCAGTTCTTCATGTGGAAAACAATTTTAGAAAGACCAGCAATGTTTATCTGTCTTACAGATAAACAAATGCCAGTTGGTTTACAAAACTAGACAAAAAATATTTTCTTCTCCCTTTTTCTGGGAGAAGAATTTTTGTTAAAAAATCACAAAAGTACTTGAAACAACTGACTTGTGAAATTCACCTGTTTAAAACCTTTGCTGGATTTTCCTCTTTATTTGAGATAATATAGAAGCTGTGCAGTTTTCCTGAATTCAACCTGTATCGATGAGGATGATGGGAGATCTTGCTTTCTTTCACGTTTTATCAGCTTCTGGAAAATTTAGATGCAAAACAGCTGATTTTTTTATTATTCCTTAATAATATGTCATCACTTGACAAAATTTACTAAACTGTGTGAGTTCCCCATGTTGGAGACAGGTCTGTTCTTCCTCCTATCCTGGAGTGCCTTCTTATCAGCTGAAGCTGCTGGTCTTACGGGTAAGTTTCATTTTAACAAATAAAAGCAGGTTTATAATATGTCTCTAGTGTAAGAAAATTGCATGTTTATTTGGGGCATGACACATATAAAACTTCCAAAAGCCATTGCTATTTTGAAGATGGTTTCATCTCTAAGAATAAATCTAGAGACATTGAATAGGTCTTCCAGAAAAAAACTTATTAGATCTAAAGTCCTCAGCCTTTCTTCCCTACCTTCCTTACATTGTCCCATCACTATTAGTCCCAGTATTAATCCCACTACTTTCTACCCAGCTATAGGACCAAAGATGACAGTAAGAATGACAAAGCACATGATTGCCAGAGACTGTGTGCTCCTCTGCAAGCACCACATGTCCCCAACCCTCCTCCTTTTTCCCCTGCTATCAACGACTAGGCAGAGGACAGGGTCATCCTCAACATGAAGCCACTTCTGGATCTCAGAAAAAAATAAAAATCTTGTTCAGGGTGCCTCTGTAAACAGCTTTTGCAACAGCAGAGCTACAGTCATGTCCCAGTGATGGGCAGAAATATGTGATCTGATTGGGTTTTTGTTCACACCAAGAAAGAAATTGTGCAATCACAGTCAAGTACATGCTCAGGAACTGCTTTTTACAACATAAAGAGTCCCCAGAAGTTTAGGCAAAAGCTGTAAATTGATATAGTTTACCTCAAAAGCAACATATTAGATAGTGTGATCTGCAGGAACAAAGTTGTAAGAGCTCAATCATTTTTATGTTCTTGATGCTGCCAGCTCTGAAATCTGGTGCTCAAGTTAACACCAGGGAAAGTCAGGGGAAGAAAAGTGCTTAATGCTGCCCAAGCTGTTTGGTTTGAAAAATTATTCATAGCCTTTTGAAGTAAAGAGTTATATTTCTACTGACTTCTGTGGAGCCAGCATGTTACTTTTATAACTTTAGCCACAAAATTAAACTATTTCTGAAATTATATTAGCATCTGTATCTTCTGGCATCTTTGGCTTATTAAATATACAAATTTACATCCTGCTTGCTGCCAAAATCTTCAGGCCAATGAATGAAGAGGAGTACATGAATGGAACAAAATGGTGGTGTTCCATCACACAGAGAAAATCGGACACCAGCTGGAATAAAAGTCCATTTTGTTTCTTTATGTTTAACGTCTCTTAAGAACGTGACATGATTACTACATGAAAGGGGAACGAAAGAAGGATAATTGTTTTTTCAGTTGCCACCTACTGGAGGTAATGATTTCCTAATCCAATTACTTCCGAAGAGAGTCTGTTTCAAAATACATTCCCAGCTGAGAACAATGATTCTGTGTTTCAGCAAATGCACAACCAATAAGTTATACATTATATCCAAAAAGTGGATTTTTTAAGGAAAACACTAAATCTTTCAGAGCTTCAGGTGATGCACCAAAGGTAATTTCCATTTTTGGGGCACAGGAGCAGGCCATATATCCAGACAAAAAATAATTGGCTTATGTCTTTTTAACATACTGTAAATTGATGACAGACAGCAGAGTGTCTCCTGTTAGTCACTTTGAAGAGTGTTTCATTTCTCTTTTCATTTGCAATATATAAAATGTCAGAAATAAAAGACTTAATTATTGAACACCACAGATGGTTTTTAGGGTAGAAGTGGTAAGGAATTTAAAATGGACAGAGGGGGAGTCAGAAAAAGAGAGTGAAACCATAGTAAAGTTCCAATTAAAGGGAAAAAAATAGAAACCTGTTGGGAAATTTAGCTATTTCTTATAAATAAATGAAATTATATAGGCATATAAAAAATAATTGCTGTACCAATGCACAAATTCCAAGAAAAGCATACCAAGGCCTTTTAGGTCTGTCATTAGCCTTTTTTTTCATGGGTGTGCTCCGAGTTTCAGGTGGAAATAATTTAATTAAACTGTTGTGAGAAGGCAAAGTTTAATGTTGAAAGTGTTATCAGTTGAGTTTTCGTCATTTGATTTCTGTGAAAGGCTTCTGTCAGAAGCTGTTATGGTAGAAACAACTCACGGAGCCTTTCTTGTAGCTCCAGAACTTCAAACGTGTGTTTTGTAAATGCATTGACTTTATCAGTACAGTGCTAACCTTACACTGTAGAATGGATATTTTTAGTTGTCTGGTTTAACCAGTTCTGATGTTGCTTTTAACTTCTCTCAATCTCATCTGAAATAGCTCAAACTCCCTTCCTTTCATAGTATGATTTTAAACTCCCAGTGCACCAGGAGAATCACTGTATTGGTTAAGATATTTTCAGCTGAATTGATTCTGTTGAGATAAAGATGTCAGAGATGGCTCTGATTTCTTATCCTCATGCTAAGGAAATCTGTGTAAAATGCAGTTCTTGTGTGCAGTCTCCCCCAGGGGGATGAGAAGCATGAAGCACCTCTTGCAGAAGGTGCAGGGAGACCCAGGGGAAGCCAGTCATACTTCAGAACACACTCAGATCTTAATTAATATCACCATTTCAAATCTTGTCCAGCTTACTTGCTTTGCCCTTTGTCTTACTTAATGTATACATCATCTGGTTTACAGTGGAGTGTGTCTATCCTCAAAAGCAATCATGAGAGTTAAGAGAGTAAGATAACAGTGCAGTGGCCCTGCTGGATCACTCCATTCAGTGAGCTAAAGTCCTAGTTTGAAGTCTTTGACTTCAGTAGGCTTACTTCAAAAATTAACTTGATCCATTGTACATTTATGCCTGAATTTGTCTTCATTTTTCTTAAATATTTTTTACCTCTGTTCATTCTTTCTAAATGAACTTCAAAGGATTAACACTAGACATCAGTATTTCCCTGTAGCTATTAAGTAATGCAATTGCAAAGTAATTTTATTATAATACTTTCCACGCTAGTTCTTCAATCAGTATGAGCCTTTTGATGTCTAATATTGAAGTATGTAATAAATTATAAATGATGGGCTCTATATTTTTTGTGTAGGTATAGTAGGTAGGACAGCTCACGTGTTTACCTTGCAGGATTTTTAAATAAAATGTGAATGAAGAATACTGCAGACCAACATTTTATAAAATACGTTCTCTCTCTACCTCAAGATATCCCATGATATCACAATATACACACTATATATGGGCCTGACCCTGGTTGAAAAACTGATGTGATCAAACCAGCATATCAAAACAAAAATCTGGGATGACTACATGATTATTGTGATACTGATAACTGTAAATTCTAAAGTAATGTTATGGCTATTAATCTCTTAGCTATACCATCAAGCTGTGACTAATGCATGGTAAATTGATTCTTATACAGTAGAACCTAAATTGTGCATTTTCTGATTTGCCCTGAAATAAATAATTCCTGAGTGCTGAGCAAAGTGATAAGGTCAGTGTTATTATAGTGGCTTTCATTTTCAACCTTCATTACAGAATATTTACTAGCAGACTAAGTAAATAATAATAATTTAAATTATACACTTGTCAAAATAAAGGAGGAATTAATATCTTACATTTATTAATTGCTCATTCTTTTGCTTTATAGTTAACAAAGTTAGCCGATTGTGAAACATTCCATGATCTACATGGGCATTTAATGTTCACCTCCATTAGATCTTCTCTGTCTACAGCTGTTTGAACAAAGATATTAAAATAAAATATATAAATATACCTGCAAAACCAAGCTCAAATACGTGTATATGAACTTATTTGCATTGATATATTCAATTGATGCATACTTCAAAGTCATACAGAATTTATCAGTGTAAAAGCACCAATATAATGGCCAACTGCCTCTGATTTTTACATGCTAAAGATCTGTGCTATGAAGCTAAGACAGACAATAGATCTTGATGAAAAATATGTTGGAGGGGATCATCGTTGTTTCTGTACTGTTTGGCAAAGCCCAGCCCAGAGTTCTCTGATCATTATAAAGGAAATTATTTATGATAATTTATTACCTCTGCTTCCTTGCCCTCAGCAGTTATTGCCTGAACATTTTGTGATATGTCTGACACCTGCTGTCCTATTCAGGGGCTCCCAAGAGAGGACAGTTTGCTAAGTGAGAAAGCTTTTCCTCCAAAATGAAATAAGCAGCTTATTATGACTGATGTACCCAGGACAAGTTGAAAGATCTGGTCTCTCACTGAGGCAGTTTTGTGCTACCTTTGTTTTTAGGACACAGCAAGAACAAATGTCACCAACTTCCATTTCATTTAGTACTGCTGACAAAGTGCATTTATTCTCATGGCTGTTCACTGTTCCTATCTGTTCGCTGTCATTTGTCTTGGATCCATCATCTACCTCATTGGGTTGTGTTTTTTTTAATGTTGTGACCAGCTCTTCTTGTATCACACTCAGAATAGATCTGTCAAAACATTTCTGTCTGTAGTTCTGAGCACTGTGAGCACAGTGCAGGTTGGTACTTGATTGGCTTTAAGATCACTGGGCTGACATTATTCCACAAAAGGAAGTTATTCTGGGCTTTAAATTCTCAATTTTGTCTGTAGTTCTGCCACTCCTAGGAGGAAAGGATGAAATTTAGGTCTCATTAGAAAAGCAGGCTCTTCATAAATGAAGATGCCACTTGTCCTGCTGTACACAGACAGATGACAACTGAGCAAGTTTGCCACAAATTACTAATCCATTACTTGCCTGTAGGACTTCAGAGGTGGCTCTGGATGATCTTTGTGATATTCTGAAACAAGGAATGTCAGGTGGATCCTGTACTTTAGAGGAAGCTTTAGACATACTTTGTTGACATATAAGCTAGATCCAAGACTGCAGTTTCAGCTATTCTGTTCAACCTTTCAACAGCATCAGACTATGCACAAACTTGAATCAGTGCTTGGGTCTGGCTAACTTAGGCCCTGCTGCAGGTATGGCCTTTTAAGACAGTAAGGGAAGAAGAGAAAAGTGATTGTTTTTACAGAAAAATACATAATCTAGCATGGCATTAGTCATAAAGCAAGGATAGTGGATTCTTCTTGCTACTTAATATGTTCAGGATAAACAGGGTAAGTGGTCTTATGTAGAATAAAACCTGGTATGTCTCACTGTAGGAGTACCAAACTAAATTGAATGCAGCAATTCATCTGGGGTTACAAAAGTAAAACATGGATGTACAGATCTCACATGAAGGAGCCATGTGCAATGCCAGTGATGATGAGGGTGTATACTCAGATAAGCGCCTAAAAATTTCCCTCAGCTCTGTCTTTTTTTTTGTTTCTGTCACTTCAATATAAAATAAACCTCAGACAACTTCAGAGATTAAAGCACCAGCTTTTGTTCTACCTTGGTGCAGGGCTGGTGAAAGAAGCTTGAATCATTGCTTCAGTATCAAAAGAATGATTAGTCACACTTCATACCCTCTGTGAAAACAGACTGAATAGGGATATTGTTGCTATTGAGTTATACCCTTGTTACTGAAACAATTTGATGCAGAAGAACACGCCTAGTTTCTTGCCACTCACACATTCACTCTGCACTGTGATGTGTCCAGTAGGTGATGTGGAGATATTCTGGCATAAATATAACTCCAAAGTAAATGCTATATGATTGAAATTATTTCTCTCACTGATCTCTTTTTCCCACATTTCATTGGCTTTGATGAAAGACCAGTTCCTCTTACATATACTGTGGGATTTGCAGTACATTAAGCATCATTAGAGAGGCATCCCTGAGGCTCCAGAATGTTTCCAAGTTGGGATGAGAACCAGTCAGTGTACGTAGAGATCTTTTCAAATGAAGTTATACATTTGATCTGTTCCCTTGTTTCCCCAGAATGTAGAGGTTTGCAGGGCTTTTTTTTCTAAATTCACTGTTTTACCACTAAAAGACCCGACAGCTGGAGACATTATGTCAATTTTATTCTCTTAGATTAGAAAATTCTGAAGTTCAAATTGTGGCCAGTCAGTTCCACATTTGCATTAAAAGCACACTGTGCATTCTGCCCCTCTAAGACAAAAGACAGACTTTTTTCCAGTTTTTATCTTAGCACAAGATATTGAAAAGCAAGGGTACATTTCCTTTTGCCTATTTGTTAAATGATCCAAAAAAGGATTTTGTCTTTCAGTGACAATACTGAAATTCTTTTTAGATTAACACTTATCCATTAATGCTTACACTATCATTTGAATGTTCATACTATCAAAAAACACTTTAAAAGAGATAAGTTACTCCTTTATCCTTTGTTATCTTTTGATATTACCAGCTTTTATCCTAACAATGATTTCTACTACAAGTATTCAGCTAAACTAATGTAAGAATAAGTTCTCTTATTGTATAAGTAGCTAACAAGCTATCAATATTTCTCTGTTATATTAAGGAGCAAAAACATCAAATAAAATTGTAGGGTATTTTTTTTCTAATAAAACCTCTTCAAAGAAGTTGAGCTGCAGCTCAAACTTTACTAGTGGCTATCAATATTTTACAGTGAGGTTTCTCATTTTTTATAGTAAGTGAAATGTTTCAGTAACTTTATAAACATATGCAGCTATATTGCACAACAGATCACCCTTTTCAACTCAAAACATTCCCTATTCACCTTAGGTTAGCATTTTGTTCAGCAATTGTAGGGCAAAATTTGCCACTTAAATTTGAAACAATGTAATGGCACTGAAAAAGTGAGCCTTCTTCAACACCCTGAAATTAAGGCACTGAGCACTAAGGACTGGTAAAAGACCATCTCCCTTTATCTGTCTCCCTGCATCTAATAAATCTTTCTGTGAGAGAAAGTCTGCAAAATTTAACCACCTAATTTATGTGCCATACACATTTCATACGGTATTTTCCTACCCAGCTAAGTTCAAAATCCAGCTTTAATGGTCTTACTAAGAAATCCAGATTGCTTTTCCCTTCTAACTAAAAGTTCTGTGTTTGCCTCTTGATGTTCTTCTATTTCTTTTGTAGTTGCATTAACATGTAATTGGTCATTACTCTTAAGTAATCGTTTTTATGGTAACGCATTACAAACCATTTTCTCCAGGCCTTTTAATGAAGCATTCATTGCAAGAGGCATGGCTAGTACCTAGCAAGCCTTCAACTGTAGAAACTGAAATACTCCACTGCATTTCCCACCTCTTCCCTGGAAACAGGGCTGCTGGTTTCTACACTCGCCTAATTGCTTGGTTCAGATGCCTTATTCCTATTGCAAAATCAGATTTAGGACATTTAATTCCTCATGTTACTCTCTCGATTTTCTCACTACCCATAATTAACAGTTTCTTAGCAGTTAAAAAAACATTTTACCATCATTGTTTAATAGTCAATTTTAAAAATGCAAGACTTGGAAAGATGATGAGTCACGTAGAAGAAAGTGAATCAGAAACTTATCTCCATTCCTATTACTGAGCCTGGAGCTAGTGATATGTAGCAACGTTACTGATTGGCTATATTTTTAACTGAAATTTCATTGTCTGAGCATCCCAGATGCCCTAAGAATTTTTAAACTCCCCAGATCAGCTCTGCACAATCAAATCGTTACTGAGAAAAAAGACTTAGATGCATTTAAGAGAACATGAACTTCCTGGAATGTAACTAGGCAGCAACAATCTCACTATTCCTCACATTATTTACTGTAAAGAAAAGTCTTAGTGTAGTTAGAAAAAAATTAAGTATCAAAACAGACATAAGAAAATAAATACTATAAAACAGACACAGCAGTTTAAGCTCAGTGGAATTTCTCTTGGCTGCAGAGACTGTGTTCCATAGCAGTACAGGTAAATTGACAGTGTAACGGGAACCCAGAAGTCAAGAAAATGTCCACAGTGTTTTGTAGGGGAAAAAAATTAACTTTCTCGTTTTCCTTCTGATGGCAGTTATCCCCTTGTGTCAAATTCATCTCCGAATTTTTTACCCCATACTTTTTTATTTCATCAAAGGTGTGTTAATGCCAGCCCTCAGCTCTTCCCAGAAACAAGACAGGTTTTTAAGTGAAGCAAGTTGGATTTTGTTGAACAAGATTCTCACAGTTAGCAATCCACAGTCAGAAACTTGAGAAAGATGTCGTAAGGGAATAATTACTTGAACTGGTATGTGGCAATGTGTTGTTCCCACACACATACACTTCCCCAGATGCAATAGTTTCAGCATGGTCTAAATTTTACTTCAGGGGAGAAGGAGATTTCAGTCACCTCCAGAGCTCTCTTGCTGCTAAAATCCAAACATTTAGAGGTTTGAATAAGCCTATTAAAGAACCTATGCAGGTACCACCACTTTCACCTGGCACTTGCTCAGTACGCTACTATCCACTTTTTCCTGTGACTGTGTGAAGACTGGTCTGGTTCTTTTAATCCTTTTGAAGTAGCAGATTGGGGTTTTTTTGTATTGGTTTGCTGTGTTAAAGCCTCTAGCACTGTAGATTCTGCCCCTGTGCTGAGATTCTTCTTGCTGGCCCTTGTAAATTCAAGAGAGTCACCATCCTGGAAAAGCTGGAGGAAGCCTTATCCAGTTTCAAGTCCATGACTGAAGGCACAGCCTGGAATTATTTTCACAATTCTACTTCATGCTCTTTGCTTCCAGTAGAACTGGCTTATATGTTTCAGTTCATGCTAGTTTAAAACCCAATAAATGCAGAGAAAGCTGCTGCGCAGTCACATTGCAAGGATACTGCCAAAATCTGGACAGGGCTATTTTTTCTTGCTTTGTTGCCTCGTTGTGTTTCCTCAGATTCATTAGTGTTATTTCACTAGCTTTCAGCAGCCTATGAGCTAAAAATTACCTAACAATTTGCAGAGTATCCCATGAGGAAGCGGAACTAAAATGCTAATTAGGGCATGTTATAGCTCTTAGAGAGGAGGCAGTGGGTAGAAGGCCTACAAGACATAAGAACTGGACTACTGTGAGGTCCATGGTGGAGAACTGACTGTCTGTGAGCCCAGTGATCCAGAGGTGCAGTGATCATACTGCAGGCTGGCTTTGTGCAACACCAGCTGTTGCTCATGTGTTGTGCGCCCAGAAACCCAGCAGAACTTGCCTGTCCACGTGCTTCAGGAAATGTCTGTGGAGGTTTTCAGGGCAATAATGATTGGAATGGACATGAACAAGCCCTGAGCTGTTGAGTAAATAATTATCTATGTAGACGTGCCCCAAGTTTCAGAAAAGCACAGAGCATTTTTCCTCCATGGGCATTTACATATGATTACTGGTGGGCACTTATTTTTGGGTTTCCATTTTCTCTCTGTGTGGGTTCCTTGTGCCTTATGAGGAAATTTCAGTTACAATCTTATCAGCTACTTTTATACAGCCCTTTGATAAACCTAAGCAAGAAAACAGAAGCAGCTAACTCTGTTTTTTTCTTTGAATTTTAGGTATTGTTGCAGTACTTTTCTGTGGAGTCACACAGGCCCATTATACCTACAACAATCTGTCACCAGATTCCAAAATGAGAACCAAACAGGTAGGCCATGGCAATAACTGACTTTGTGTCTTCAACTGGTATGAGGAATAGACAGAGGTCCTGGAATATAGCTGGATGGATTTCATTAGTGCAAAGAAAGAGGCTTATGTCTTCATAGGGGAAAGACTATAAATTTTGCCAGGAAAACTGTAACAATTCTCTAGATAAGTGAAAAACATAAACCTGTTCTTCTCAAGCGACCTGAAATGTCTGTCCAGGAGATGAGGGTAAGGAGACAACAGTTTATTATCTCCCATACAAACTTGCTATGAAGATAACAAAATAGAAAAAACTCTGGTAAATACAAGAGAAGTGGCCTGAGAGATGGGATCCATGTGGATTTTTGCAAAGGGACTGTAGAAACTGCAATCTGGTCCACAGATTTGAGCAATGACGTTTCATTTCTGCTTCATTAAAAATCTAGTATAATTAGATAGTAACTTGTTTAACACTTCCTCATGTAGAATTCAGAGATAAGAGAAATTTTGTAATCTGTTTTTTGTTTCCACAGGTAAGTAGTGCAATTGTAATTATTATTTAAAACTTGGATCTGTTCTCAGTGCTAGATATACGGCACTAGAATGTTCAAAACACTTTTCAGCACAAGGAGTAATTTTAGATTAGCTCAGCACTACCTAAATCCTGCAAGAAGTCATTTAAATGCAGTTTTCTTCCATTTTAATGCTGTCCTAAGAACCGCAGGTTGTAGAAAATCTTACGTCCTAGACCAAAATGGTCCAAGACTATAATTTTCATGATGAAACCTTGTACCTTTTTTCAGCAATGTTTCTGCTTTAAGCATTGGAAATCTTGCACAGAATATTTCATTGTTTCTTGCACATCTCACTTTAATAAAAAATCCAATTTTCTATCAAAAACAGTTAGACAGAAAAAATACTGGCCACAGCATTAGTTGAACTGTCAGACTCTCTCAGATTTTAAATCACAAAAAAGTTTATGGTTAGTACTTCCAGAATAAAGTGTTAGCTAGTCTTCTCAATTGCATTTCGTTATACCAGCAGAGAATCTTTCTCTGATAACTGTATCATAAGGGAATAACATATCTACTATAGAATTGTTATTTTGCAGAAATAGTGCATTGCATATGCCTTTACTACCTTTGCATATAAGTGTTACAATTTGAGTACAAGACTTTTTCAGGGATTCGTCTGCATGATTTAGTGATGCATAGCCTCAGGGAGAGCAAGAGTAAAAGAAAAGCCATGGTATTTTTAATTACATATGAAACTGTTCAACTACAGATTTACCTACCTTTTAGTTTAAATGCATACTGGTTTTCTTCATGTTTACTCTTTCTTTCCCTTCCATTCAACAGTGCAAATCAAAATACTGAAAATAAACAGAATCCACCCTTTAACACACAGAAAAGGGATCAGTGCTTCTCTATGGAACTATGAATTTTATGCACCCCTTCTATTCTGTTTTTCTCTTCCCCCATAAGCTCTTAATCCTCAGCCTCCCTTATGATATGGTTCAAAAATTGTAGCTGAATTCCTTCGTATTCTTCTAATTTATTTTCTAATCCAAAGATTATCCTTTCATATGCAGCTGTTTCAGTGAGACCTGCACTGCCTCCTTCTTTCTCTCCCCCAAATAATTCTCTTCAAGTGAATTTACTAAACCACACACTCGGTATTCTCATTATATATGACTTCAGTGCGTCTTAAATGAATATTGTTGCTCAGACAGACAGCTTTGCTCCCAATCTAAGTCATTCTTATTACTCATTACCAGCCAAAATCAGGGGCTTTCAGTTAATTTATAGAATTATTCCAAGGCAGTCTCTCTCTTTTATTACAATCTGACAGATCTTTCAATAAGGACTGGTGAACTGTAATGTACACTGACAAAACAGCAAGATAAGGCTGAAGCTAAAGCTAACAAGAAACATGGAAATTAGATTTAAAACTGTAAATCAGGCTGTGAAATTGTGCTAGCTGTTTTTAAACAATAGCTTTTTTCCTCCACTGCTTCACATAATTTTCATTCCATTTTTTAGTGTCTGTTAAAATTTCATAGCTTGATGGTAAAATTCAGTATTCAGATATTGACATAAAATGAAAACTTACCTGCAGTTCATAAATAAGAATTTAGGAACTGCTATTAAGAATGCCTGTTGAAAGATGCCATGCAATAATTAGTCCCTGTAAATCCTGTATTGTCCAGACAATCACCATGTAACATTCCATGAATGAGAAATATTAGATTTCAATATCTGAAACTTACAGAATCTGAAAGTATAAAGTAACACAAATCTTGTCAAGAACAATGGCTTTTTTTGACATTGTCAAAATAAAAGATAATGAAGATTTAATGAAAATGCAGGCTGTAGAGTATTTTCATTGAAACTAATTATCCCAATTCTCACTAAGTATTTATAAACATTCTCTCTGTGATTTTTCATCATTTGTTTAAACATGAAGGATATTTTACAGCAGTATTTTTAAATCTTCATCACTGATCTAGTACTATGGTCATAGTGATTTTAACATTAAAATTGGCACTGCTGACCATGGCAACAAGTTAGGACAAACAGTGTTCCTGAGTTTCATACACTTAAAGTGTAATTTATCCAATATATCTTCAGTGCAGGAGAAGATGAAACTGCTAGGACCTGATCAAAAGCTATCTGATTCTTTGCAGCTTTCTCTACAATTATTTGTGGCTGCTAGTATAACCTCACTTCAAGCTGCAGGCAAACAATTGCTTCTACATCTTGGGTCATTATAGATCAGATTTACATTAGATTCTTAGGTGGGTTGGGCTGGGTTGATTTGCCAACCTGTAAGTAAGTCAGTACCTGGGCAGGGTGTTGATGGATAAAAAGAAATTACTGGTTTGTTGAAAAAGGGCACTGTAAATTCCTACATGTCAGCTCTAGAAAGGGTTGCATGGACAAATACAGTGGTTTCAACAGGAAGAGAAAATATCCCCACTACTTTTTTCTTTCTGCCCTCTATAAGTTTCACTGAAATGCCAAGCTAAGGCCAGCACAGTTTTCTACTGGTGTAGTATTAAGAGAAGCTTCTCCCTTTCTCTAATGCCTATGAATGTCCAGCCCATCACATGAGTTATATATCAGTTTCTGGTTATGTTCCTTTGATTCTAGGGAACAGCCACAATGCAGAGACCAGGAAACAGGACAATACAACTCTGGTTAAGTGTGCAATTCTGCTTTCAGACAAAATACAGTGACAGGAAGTTTTAAGTTCTGGAATGAGAATTTGAAATGCATCTCCTATGGAAGAAGAGCCAGGGAATTCCCAGGAGGCAGAGGAAAGCATGTCCAGCCAGAAAGAGGGTTTATGTCACATACTGCCCTGCCTGCCTCCATTCATTCCACCAATCTAACTCTTGTTTACACAGTCACCTCTGAAATAGTTGTGTCTCACACAGCTCATGAAGGTTGCTTTCTCAGATTAGGTCTAAGAGCCTTTCTAACCACATTACTAGTTACACAGTTACTCACACTCTTTGCTGATCCTGATAGCGAACTTGTTAGGGAACACCTGCCTTATAGACAAAAGCTCCTGGCCTGATTGTTCAGCTGCACCAGGAGCGCAGAATATACAAGATGCTGCATTAAGATTTCAGTGACCATTTACCTCCAAGGTTTTACACAAGCTTGTAAAGCCGAGTAAACATAAAACAAGAACTCGGTGCTGCATAACTTGTGAGTAACTTTGCCGAAGCATGTAGTCTTACCAGGATTGCTTGAGCAAATTGACTTACCCTGAAGAACTGAAAGTTCAGACTGATCTTAGGACTTAGCTCACTGAGGGAGATAGTACTGATGGCTTCAAATTTTAATCTTTGCACTATCAAGCAGACATTATTATATGTAATTATTAAAAGTCATCACTTTGCAGAAGACCAGCTAATATCTCTCAGGAATCCCCTGAAAATGCAGAGTTTTGTAAAATGTCTTAGCTCATTTATGACACAGCTATACATTTTCCAACAAGGAAACGGGTTAGGGATCAATCAGCTGATTGCTTGATCATCAGTTGAGTTTGGTGTAAAAAAAGCTGTGTTTCTAAGCATAGTAATTTAATTCAAATTAATAATATTAACTGGAACAGGCTGCAAAAATGGTCAATTAAAAATTTTCTTAATTCCTCAAAAACTGTAAATCAAACCATTTTAGTTTCTTGACCCTGAGATGTCCTGAGATCACCTCAATATGGACTGTAAGCTTGATGTTGTTACATTCATAATTACAGAATTACTTCTGAAGCAACCTGGAACAGCACAGTATAACCTAAAGAGTTAACTATGGCAATGGAGATGTCCAAGTCTACTGAAAGGAGGAGAAAACCAAATAATCAAAGGAGTGGTTCCTAAACAGCAATCATACAATGTTTAATAAAAAGAGCATTGTAGTACTAAAGGCAAAAGGGTGGAGAAATCAGTTTCTGGCTCACTACATCCAGCTGAAGCACCCTCACTGGGATCTGGTCGTTCTACTCCTTTTCTGCTAGCCTATCTTATAAACAACTTAAAGTCAGACCTACATTCAGAATTGAAACAACAGATCTCCTTTCTCTAGACACATGATCCAATGACAACCTCATAGGATTTTTCTGTCAGCTATCTTTTTGTAAGAAAGGAAATAATACACTGTAAATTCTGCACCAGCAGCAGAACGCTTTCTCCTGTTGTTAAAAGCACGTCAGGAACTGCAGCTACTGCAGTTCTTTCTGTGAGAGAAGGGCAGCAGCTGAGCAGAGATGGCTGTGTGCTCCTACTGCCAAAACTGCATCATCTGCTGATGGGTAGTGGTCCTGCTCCGGATATCTAGCATCCAGTATTTGGGAGAAGCAGCTCCCTAAAATCAGAAAGAGCAACAGCACAAACGATTTAGTGCCCTTGTCTTAACCCTCCACAGTCATACAGGACATGTGTGTGCCCTGTGGCTTTGGTTCTGCTATTTTGATGAGTGTTTAAGAGGCCAAACAATTAGAGCTGTACTCACTACT